TTGAGGTTCATCTCAGTGCTAAGCAGAATCATTACTGGAAATCGTGCGGCACGGTGGGGAAGCTAGGATTTTATGAATGTGTGAAATTTCCTGATTTGGGAGGCTGACTGTGAGGAGATGACGCTGTCTGCTCATGCGCTCTTCGTCTACTTATGCCTTACTGATGGACTACTACCATGTTTGCGCGGTTCGGTTGGGTCTGGTGCAGTCTGGTTTAGGTCTGCCTGCCATTTATACTCAACAGTTACCATGGTTACCGTGCTCAGCATGGTTTTGAAACGGTAGCGTAAATGGGGCTAATGGAGAGCAGCATGTCAGGAAGGCAGGGCGTAGTCAGTGTGCTTTATTGTTTCTCTCTTTTATCTGAATCCCTCTGACCAGAGCTGCTCCATCTTTATCCAATGGAAACAGAATCGTTTCTGCTTGTGAGATCAGAAACCACTGGCGTGGTGCGTTCAATGCTATCATGTAAATTCGCGGGTCAACTGTTGTTCCCACAGCATGCCGAGTCGTTTGACCCGGGTAGACACGCGTCAGTGAGCTGTTCCCACTGCCGCTAAAAGCTCAATGTCGTTTAAACTGGTTTTCAGCCACTGGGAAAGGCATATTTAAATTTTAGACTATGACATCACTGCAAAGACAGCTGTAAATTTAGCCTCCTTCATCCTAAAAAGTAAAAAACACAAAAATGGTTCAAATTCTTCTCAGACATGACAGGACCTCCACAAGTTACTCTACTCTGCATGTATTAACACCTGCATAAAATCTCCAGCTAACATGGCGACGTGGAAGATCAGGTGAAATTCTCTGCGCCGCCAGAAGTAAGAGAGGGAAATCCCTCATAGCGGAGTCCCTCTGTGTTTATTTAGTTTTAGTAGCTGTGGACGTACAGCTAAAAGCTGTTTATGCTTCAGTGTTTTAGCTGTGGAGTATAAAGCTATAAATCAGTTTATTTCTGTATCTCTTATCGTGCTAAAAGATGTCCTCCACACACATTGTCCCAGACTGAATCACACCATCCTGTACTTGTTACCCTCCTATACGCTCAAACATTCATGTGTGGACATGCCTGATGCTGACAAACACTCTGAGGTCTATATGTAGACACATGATCACTGAATTAGGCCTGGTTCCACACGCACACGGCGCGCCTCTGTCTTTAAAGCAGAATCCCAGATTTATGAGGCTATTAATCCTACATACCAGGCAGGGAGAGACGCAGGGAGCCTCAGTGGTTGAAGCAAAGAAAGATGCGATGGAGGACTGACAGACTGATTCCCACACATCCCAGCTCCATTTGCCGTCCCAGTTCTTATTTATTTCTCCATCTGTGTTTCTGCTGTGACCATTAGCTGTTTTTTTAGCGGTGGCTCTGGTGACATCATCCTGTTAGAAGGAATGGAGACGTCTACTTTGGTAGAAACGTCTAATCGGAGGCAGAAAGCTTTGATGCGTGGCTCTGATATCCACTTTTTAAAGTTACATGACATCTTTCTTAAAGGAAAAGTCGCTCATATTCAGAATCCAAACTTCTGAAAGTTCTTTAAATCTGAAATGATTCCATCCTGTTCAATAAATGATCAGTGTTTTTAATTCA